GGAAAGAGCAAGGAGATCTGAAATCCTATAGCTCTGTTAAGCTCCCAGGACTACAAATTCCCCTGTCACAGGGCTCTGCCCAGTTTCCCAGGTCCCAGATGATCCCTCCTGCCTGAGTAGAGGCTCTGGATGCCAGCAGTATTTTTTTACCCACTTTTGGGACCATTGGGTCATTTATTGTGTCTTGAGGCATTGCAGTCCTTTGAGGGAGGCACATGACTTATGCTGGTGTGACAGTTCCCCAGTGCCCTCATGTTTACCTCTTAGCTTTTGGGTTGGATGTGGGTTTATAAACAGACTACCCAGGTATAAGGAGGTCTGATGGTGACATGTGTCCTCCCCTCAAGTGGGGCCATCTCCCTTGCTAATGAGATGACAAAGAAAAGCCCTACATTGCTGCTGGCCAGGGCATCTCAAGGTGGGGATGGCTGAACTTAGCTGGTGGTAGAGCAGCAGACCAGTGTAAAATGAGTCTGGAGTCATCTCTCTGGTGAGCTCCAGAATTTCAGCAAGGGTTGATCCTAACTTTGGACTTCAGAGATCACCTTGGGGTGGCAGCAGATCCTGCAGGCTGTTGTAAGGGGATTAATTAGGTTAAACAAACAGTGTGGGACATGGATGGGGTTACATTAGCTCCTGAGAACCCAGTGGGTTCCTGTCCTGAGTGAACTCCCTGGGCAACTGCTGCCTAGAGGACCTGCCCTTTGCACTGTCTGATAGAGCCAAGGGTTTATGTTGAACCCAGTTTCTGAGCAGAAATACTCTCCAGGCACTGTGTGCTCCAGCAGGTCAGGGCAGCACCCAGGAAACAGCTGCCTCTGCAAACAGGAACAACACAAAAAAAATAATATTTGCTTTAGATGCTTGTAGGAACTAAGTAAAACCTTTGCTCTCAAGAAGGTTTCCTTGGGTCCCAGAATGGGAGTAGGGAGTCCAAGCAAACCTCTCCTGGATACGGGGGGCCCATGTAACATTTTGTGCTCTTCTTCTGTGACGACAATGATTTTCCAGGGGACAAATTTCCCTGGGTTGCACAAGACCCTGCATCGAAGGATGTCTTGGCCACATGCACTGCTTTGGTCCGCTGGTACCTCTGTCTAGCAGGTTATCCTGCCTTTTGGGTCTGAGGGAGATCAGCACAGGTTTTGCCCTGTGACTCTGGGAAGTCTCTTCCCTTCTTTTGCAGGAAACTTTCAGCTGCTTCTATAAATGCTAAAGAAACTGAGAGCAGTTGGTCAAGAGGAGTCGTAGGCTGCCCCAAGGCAAGCATGAGCACTAGGGTGGCACTGATGCCTCCATGCCGGATGCTGATGGGACAGCAGGCGCTGGGAGGTCTTTTGCCCACCCCAGGTGCAGATCCACCCTGCAGTGCCCATTCCCTCTGCCAGTCACAGCGGCAGGACAGAAATGCCTCTTGACATAATGTGAGTGCCAGGTCCTGTCAGCTGCCGAGCTGCTATGTCCATCTTTAGCCTGCTCTCCAGTTACCAGCCACGTCCTCTGGCTGCCTCCAAAGATAGGCAAAACCACCTCCCGGCGCCTGGGTTGGAAACTGCGGGGAAGCAGAGGGGGGATCATGGGCAGGGAAGAGATTGATGGGATTTTTGTGGAAGGAGTCAAGGACACTGCAAGTACGCCTGAGCTATGGCGTCGCTGTGCTACAACAAAGGCTGTGGGCAGAGGTTTGATCCTGAGCACAACACAAAGGGTAAGTGGGCTCATCGGCCTTGCACCAGGGTGAGTGGGGAATACATGCTGCTTTCCCGGTCCGCAGCCTCAGCCACCATGCTGCAGCCTGAGCTGCCAAGCAGGGCTGAGCCGAGCCCAGCACAGGCAGCCTGCATGGCAGGAACTGGCTCAGGAGCTGCTGGGTGTCATGGGTGGCTCGTGGGAAGGATTGCTCCTCCTGAAAGATTCTGCCTGATTTTCCCTTTTCAGATTCCTGCCTGTATCATCCAGGTGTCCCCATCTTCCACGATGCCCTGAAGGTGAGTGGGACATAAGCCGGGGCTGCAGCTGCAGGGAGAGACTTTGTGCCTGGCGGGATTGCCCACACCTGACCAGTTTGTCATCTCCTGGTGCCTAGGGCTGGTCTTGTTGCAAGAAACGCACAACGGACTTCTCTGAGTTCCTCTCCATAAAAGTGAGTGACCTGCCAGCCCAAATGCACCTGCTGCTCCTCCGTTCTCTCCTCCTTGCCCCTGCCCTGTCCTGTCCCATTCCCATCCTGTGCCAAGGCTACCCCCTTCACCCTGTGGGCTGGGGATTTCTTGTCTGCTTCCAAGGATCCTGAAAGCAAGGGTGCTGCTCCCAAAGTGTGGGGCAGGTGCTCCAGAGAAGGGTGCTAGAAGGGGCTGGGATCCCCCACCAGGATCCTGCAGGATGAACACAAATGCCCTAAGCATCAGCACAGCTGTGAATGTCTGAACAGTTCTGTAGGGGGGAAGGAGGCAGCAGAGGACTAGGGATGTGGGGGAGACTCTTGCTGCACCTCAGCTGCCAGGCTGGGGTGCAGCAGAGCTAAGACCTGTCTGCCATGGTGCAGGTGAGGCTGCCACACCCTCTTGCCCTGGGGAATCCCTGCATGTCCCTGGTGCGGGGTCAGAGTCCATCTCTGCAGGACACAGAGTCACCAGAGCATGGAAACTAGCAGGGTTTGGGAGCAGCTGCCAGGCTAGGGAGGGCAAAGCAAGCATCAGGCTTGCCTCTGCTGCTCAGGGATGCACAAAGGGGTTTCACAGCAAGGAGAAGCCCCCTGAGCCTGTTGGCCAAGAGGAAGCCTCAGACAAGCTGAAAGCCAAACCAGTGGAGGAGGTCATAATCCAAAGACCAAAATCAGCTGAGAAGATGCAGCAGGAAAGACCAAGGTGAGATGGGCTCAGCTAACAGTGTCACCCTGCTGTGCCACCTCTACGTGTGTCCTACCCTGCTACTTCCTCAGAAGAGGCAACAACACTTAAATTGCAAAAAAAACCCACTCGACCTTTGCTACTGCTGTTCTCCAGCTTTGATGAGCCAAGACAACTGCTGCCGATTAAAGTATCCAGGTCTCTGGAGCAAGCTCTGCAGAAACTGAACCTGTCCTCCAAGGACAAAGTACCTGAGGGCAGTTGTCCAGGTAGGGATGAGCTGATGGATGGCAGCGGGGTTCAATGTGGCAAGTTCAGCATGTGGTTTAGCATGGCAGGTTCAGTGCAGGATGGCGGGTGCTACACGCTCAGCCACCTGCAAACCCACAGAGCTGCATCTTGGAGATGCATTGCAATGCACTGTGCTCAGGGGCTGTGCATGCTAAACTGGGGAGATGGCAGTGGGGCTGTGGGGGGGTTTGGGGGCACGTGTGTATGGTGCATGCCCCGGGGTGAAACTGTGTTGCTCTCACAGGTGAAGTGGCTGCCCAGGTGAGAGCTGGCACCACCTGCAAGAATGCAGCCTGCAAGGCAGTGAGTACCCAGCAGGGTCCCAGCTTTGCATGGTCTGTGCCATTGCCAGGAGCATCACAAATCCAGTTCAGGGGCTCATCTCTCAACTGCCACCAGGTGTGGGGCAGGGTGCCAGATGGGTGGGAGATGGCAGCACCCATCAGGTCCATCAGCTCCTGCTCATTCTGTCCCTGGAGCAGCTGCCTCTCTTGCCTCCCAGCCACATTCCTGCAAGAGGCTTCCAGATTCCTGGATTGGTGGTATATTTGCATTTCATTGCTGCTAATTGCTTGCAATGAAATATAGCATATATTCAGGATATGGGCATATAGGTAAAATGCATGTGGAATAAGTCCCACCTGCATTTAATTAATGCAGTACAGCCTACTTTCTATCTTGCTCCAAGGCCACCTTGAGTAGGACTGTCTGCCTGCCCCAAGGCGTGTGCTGGAGGGACCAAGCTGCTGGACGGCCAGCATGCTTGGAAAGCAGCAGAGAGGGGAGTGAGCAGGGAGCAAAAGGTGGGAGGTGGATAAGGACACGAGATTAACACACTCTGGGAAGAGACAGGATGGGCGAATGGCCCCTTGCACCTCAGAGTAAGTTTCTGTGGTATCCAAACTTGCCCACTGTGCCAATGCTGCCCAGCCCCGGGCTGGGACCAGGCTGTGTTTGGGAGAGGACATACAGAAGGGCTGCTGCCAGGGTCATGGGGATGATACTGGGGTCCTGGCAAGGCCAGGGTGGCTGTCCAGCTGGCAGGGAGCAGGAACCAGTGCTGGCCTGCCAGCTGGGCATAGTCCCAGAGTTAGTCTTCATAGATGCTGGACCCTGTGAAAGGGTGATGTTGGGCATCATGCTGTGCCCTACGCAGGGATGGGCACTGATGGGCAGATGCCTTGCTGTTCCATGCCATGCTGTGCCAGAGGCACAACCAAAATTTTCCTTTGCTTCTTGCTCCACAGATCTACCAGGGCCCAGAGAGCAACAGAGAGGTTTGTACTTTCCATCCTGGTGCTCCTGTCTTCCATGAGGGGTAAGAAACAACCCTTTACTGGGGAGCAAACTGACCGTGCTGAGGGCTGAAAGTGCTGCATCACAAGGTTGTGTGGCTTCAGCAGCACGGCCAGTGCAGTCGTGGGTGACACCCCCCGGGGTGTCAGGTGGGCAGGGGGAGCTGTTGGTTCCAAGCCCCTCTCCCCCACCACCCCAAAGCCTGCTGTGGTCCCCTCTCCTGCTCCCATGGGTGGTCCCCACTCAGTTCATCCCTCTCTCCGCAGGATGAAGTACTGGAGCTGCTGTGGAGTCAAAATGACAGACTTCAGCGCCTTCCTGGAGCAGCTGGGCTGCAGCAGCGGGCGGCACTGCTGGACAGGGAAGGGGGTAAGGGGGCTCTTGGTAGGGGCAACTCGTGTGAGCAAAGTGCCACTATCTGGCAACTGAAGAGTGCCCCTTCACTTGCTCTGCCTTCATACCAGTTTCTGCATTTAATTCTCTTAATTTTCATAATTGATGACTATGCAGCGTTTGAGTGCACGCTCTTCACCCATCTGCTGTTTAAAATGCTGCTCCTGCATTCACAAAATGTGTCAGGTCTCACGCCCAATGGGCAGATGTGCAACAGGAAGCTGAACGAGGCAGGAGCTGTCCCCAGGTATGGCGCAGCCAGCACTGCAGGCCACCACACAGGGACAGGCAGCTGAGCACAGGAAAAGCCCTGAAAAAAACCCAAAACCCCAAAATTTTGACAGATGACTGCAGATGACTGAATTTGGTTTTAGTGGGGTTTTTTTGTTGGTTTTTTTTTCCCTCCTCCTGCAACTGCTTCCCAGGAGGAACCTCATCTACATAGTGACATGATTTTGCGGCAGGGCAATGGGGAGAAGATCCCAATTCCCAATATTGTATGGTGTGTGCAAGTTTCCCCAGGAAAGCTCTTTGCTGGAAAAAGGCTCGAGCTGGGAAAGTTACACCAAAGCGGCCCAGGATATTCCTGAAAGTGCACCATGTTCCTCTCAGTCAGCAACCCCCTATGAGCCCAGTCTGTTCTTTGTCCTGGAGCGGAAAACATGTAGTGGATGTAAAGGAGGCTGCAGTGAATGAACTGTGATGTTGCGATGTAGATGCTTTGTGCTAATTGTCACCTGATTTTGGGGCTGGGATTCCTCCTGGGACATTTCTTTGGCTGGCAATGTTGAGGGCTGCAGAAGGTCAGTCTCCTGGTGATGCTTAGAAATGCCTGGTGGGGCCAAAGCTGCCTGTGGCATGGATGAGGCGGGAGTTCTGTGGGAGAATGGTGAAATGTGGCCAGTGGGGCTCATCTGTCTCCCAAATTTAGCATGGTGGCATGATCCATGTCCAGCAACAGCCCGTGCACTGCCCTTCAGACTGAGTTTCCTGACTGTGCACAGCACCTACAAACTTGGGCACAGCAGAGTGACTCTTGAACAAGAAGAGGATGTCTCTGGTCTTAACATGTCATTCTGGAGCAATCCCAAGCACAACACAGATGCCCCATGTTGCATGGGACAGCCTGGTAGGGGCTGCCCACCTTCACATGAACCACTTCCCCTTAAAAACCTGCACAAAAGGCAGGTTTGATCTTGCTTAGCTGATGCCGACCTCAGCTGGGACTCTGAGAAGGAGACCTGCAAAGGAGCATCCTCCAGCACAGACATCCCCTGTGTTTGGGGTGTGCTTGGGCTAGAAGCTGTGCCATGATGGCTTCCTCTCCCTGGCAGGACAAGGCGGCGGTGTTGTGCCGGCAGGACTGGCACCAAACCAGCAGCCAGGTGGTAGTGACAGTCTATGCCAAGAACCCCCTGCCTGCCCTCAGCAGCGTGAAAGCCAACCACACTGTGGTGAGTGGGGCCAGCAGAGCTGGGCTGGTGATGCACACTTTCATAGCACCTGATTTTGATAAGCCAAGAGCCGGGAGCCAGCTGGGTGCCTGGCGCTCTTTGATGGCCTGTTGGGTCTGTTGTTGCAGCTAGGGTTCACACTGCTGACACTGTCCCCAAGCTGAGAGCCCAGTGGTTTTGCTGCTGCAGCAGCATCTGCCCAACCACTCTGGTTCAGTGGTGCTCGGCCTCAGTGGGTGGCTTTGCTGGCCTTGAATCCCTCTATTGGTGGCAGAGGTGAACCTGGCATGCTCTGAAGGGGGTGAAATGCTCTCAGGTGATGAGGGAATCGCCAGACCCTTACACCGGAGCCAGGACATGGGATTCATTATGGTGCTGGAAGGCAGCTGCACTCTCTGGGGGAAGAGCTCTAGCAGTGCTGTGCTATTCACTCAGATAATTTTCTATTGATCTTTCAGCTTGAGGTTCACATCATCTTTGAAGGGAATAAGATTTTCCAGGCAGAACTGGATCTCTGGGGGGTAAGATCCTGTTTACTTTGACTTCCCTATTCTAGTAGTCTGTGTGGGGCTGGGCTGCAATGCTGTGAGGCAGCCTGTGCTCTGGGAGAAGAGTTTGCAGCCCCAAACACAGGCTTCTGCTAAGGAAAATTAGTCTCTGCATAGTCAGGATTCTCAGACTTTTGATAAAGCAGTGAAATGGTTGTTGCTGCAATTTCTATACAGTCCTTCCTGTATGTGGAGCATGAGGCAGACTTTGATTGTATTATTGCATACAAATTCCATGGCCCCCGGGATGCTGTCTCTTTCCATGGCTGGCACGTTTGTGGAACAAACAGCCATTTCATAGTCCCTTCCTCAGTGAGATTCATTGCCAAATCTCAAAGCCTTGTGGAGAACACAGGTCCACCATGGCTGTCATAGCAGAGATGACCCATTTCCGGTTTTCTATAGCAACAAAGGCTGATGAGGAAATTAGGTTTTTCTCTATTGATCCCATGGTGGTAATACCCCCTGGGAGCCATGCCAGGACTATGCCTGGGCTCGGTGGCCATCTGACTGCTCTGCACTACTTGAGGCACCCTGGCTACTCTCTTTTAAATGCTGCCACAGCACTGGCTTGCTCTTGTTGGGATCGTTTGGGAGCAAGTCACCCAGGTACTGGCATTTATAGCCATCTTTGCTCAAGAATGCCTTAAGGGTTGTGAGGAGGTTGTTTAAGGGTTGTTTAGGAGTCTGCTGGTGGCTGCACCTTTCAATCCTGGAATAAGAGCAGAGCTGGATGTCACTGCTGGCTCTGTAGGCATTTTGGGTTTGGTCCCAGACTGTCCCAAAGGGTCTTTGTCCCAGCAGGTCCCTGTCTACCCCTGCAATACTGCTGTGCCTGTGAGCAGGCAGTGGGGGAGAGGCTTGCTCTCTGATTTCTCAGCTGCTTGCTGGCTGGGAAAGAACAGTGAGACTGAGGAATGTGCATGTACATTTCTTGCCTTTATTTCTGGTACATGCTGCCTGCGCTCGCAGGCAGCAGAGTGTGCTGCTGGGCGTGGGTATGCTTGTGCCTCAGCACAGCTCACTGCCATGGGGAGAGGGCTGTACTGCAGCCATGCATGTGGCTACAACTAGCTGAGCTCTTCTAAGCTCCGTACCACCACTGTGGTGCTGCTTAGACATAACACTGTGAAGCGCAGCTGGAGCCCATGTTTTATCCTGTTCTGTCTCCTGGCACACAAGGAGAGGAGATCTCTCCTCTCTTCTCCTCTGGCAGGGCTCTGCCAGTAAGAGGAAGGATGAGCATGTGCTGCCTGCCCAGCTCACTGCATTTTCCTCTCTCTCTAGGTCATCAAAATAGAGAAGAGCTTTGTGAGCATGGTCCCTACCAAGGTGGAGATCACACTTTGCAAAGCCAGCCCTGGCTCCTGGGCCAGGCTGGAGCTCCCTCAAAGCAGGTTGCACTCTTGTGGTGAGCAAAAGGAGGCTGCCAATGCAGAGGAGCCTGGGGCAGTGCAGGAGGAAGACTCAGATGACAGCTTGAGTTGGTCAGAGGAAGATGAGGAGTTGGAGATGAGAACACCGAGCATCTGACAGTCAAGTGCTTCAGCAGCTGAGCAGTGCCAGCTCCTGAGCTGCTGGGGACCTTGGCACCAGCTCCAGAGGAGCAGACCCAGCCCAGAGCCACATGCACACTGCAGGACACCCTCTCCCTGGGTCAGAAGGGGCAAGTAATAAAAACCCACAGCAAAGTTTATACTCTGAAATTCCTGATAGGTGCTTAAGAAATGCCAGCAGGCTGAATCTGTCATCTATCTTCCCCTCTCCTGTGCCTGGCCAGGGCAGGAGAACAGGAAGAGCCCCCTTGTTTGCACTCCAGGCAGCTTGTGCCTGTGCCAGGTCTCTTTGTGGCCAGGGTGCTCATAGCCCGGTGTTCTGCCTGACTCCGGCACTTCTGGGGCCTGCAGAGGCGCAGGACAGGACAGTGAGCTCAGCTTCACTCCCCACATCACCTCACTCCCTCCATGAAGGGGGAACCAGGCCGAGGAGGTGTTATGAGGGAGATGGCAACTGCAGGCACGAGGGAAACGTCATCGCTGCCTGTGGCTCCAGTGGGGACTTGACGTCCTCCTTTTCAAAGCCGTTTATAGGCATGAAACTGCCCCGGTGTGAGAGGTCAATATTCACCAAGCGATGAGAGACAAGAAGGGCGTGGAGGCAGGGGATTCTTGAGGGGGTTTCGCTGTTTAACACCTCACAGCGCTGGTAAGGGGGTCGGAGAGCGACACACACTATTGGCCGACGGTACTAAAATATTCAGGTATTAAAATCCAAGAGCAGGAGCAAGCAAGGCCTGCAGTCCACCCTCCGCCCCGCCCCTATCCCCTTTCCGCTCCCTACACCGGAAAACGCCGCGCAGCCCCACAGCGGCGCCCTCTCGTCGCGGCGCCC